TACATAATCCTCTATACAGCTCATAAATTTGCATGGCTTTTTGCACATACAGAACAAGACATGTTCCCTATCCCCACACTGAAATATAGATTTTTGCACTCACCTAGGTGCATCGAAGTAATGCACCAACAATATTCAGCTATGTTGATAGAGGCCAGTGCTGTGGTCTTGTATTGTTATGGATGTTGGTGTGCTCACCCAGCACTGTCTAAATGCCTGATATTTAGAAGTGCTATTAGAGAAGGTGCAGTACGTACCCCATATGGGTATAAAACCCGCGTGGCATTGCAGCTCCAGGAGGGAGCAGAGGAAACAATCAAAGGGGAGTGCATGGTAGGAAGACTTAAGGAAGGATTTGAAGGAAGAGAAACGGTGCACTTGAAAGTGGGCTGTTCTGGAGGAGGTCTGGACTAGACTGAGGCGATGGGGAGAGGGAGCCTCTTTGCACATGGTGACCACAGCCAACATCCAGGTGTCTCTGGTCCCCAGTCCCAATGATAGTAAGAATGAATCATAATCTGCCTGGGATTGTGCCTGAGTTTACAAATGGCTGTGTGGGGATATGTGTTCCTGCACTGTGTCTTCTTCAGGTTCACTGCTGCGTTTCGCATGCTGGGCACCTGCTGCGGCAGATCCCTTTCTTCTCAGAGCCCGAGGCAGAGAGTTTCTCCCTGCTGTTGGGCCTTCACGAGAGGATGAGTAAAGAATGACGTGGAGAGTGAGTATGATCAAACAACAGGGGCTGGCGGCAATTTACTGCTTCTCGCAAGCCACCAAGACTGGTTTCCAACCATCTGAAGAGCAAATCTAGACAGTTGCCCTCAGAGGGAAATGAACCAGGATCTAATCCTGGTCCTACCAGGCCTCCAATGGCACCAAGCCTAGAGGAGCCAATATGCCAAGACCAAGGCTAGGCAGGGAAGTGTCAGCAGTATAATCCTTGAGACACTGATGTGCCAAATATAGAGGCCAACAATGTTGGAGCAATCTGTGTGTTGGCCATCCGTGCTGTTGGGTGCTGCTTGGAAATCTGAGCCCCTGGATTTTCCCCCGTCCATCCCTGTGATCCTGATTATACCATCTGCTTGCTAAAGCATTTGTTGTTTAAATTGCTTCTTCAAGTCTTACATTAATATTCGCAATCAGCCTGAAGATTTGGAATACCGCTGAATGGGCCACATCCTTGCCCGGTTACATCCCTTGTCTTTTTCTGAAGCTGTCCTGATTTACACTAGCTGCGAATGAAGCTTGCAGCAGCTCTTCAGTGACTCAGAGGCCTCTGGGAAATGGAGCAGAATGTCGATTGGAAGCATTTTTATTATAATTCCTCCCTCTACTTGCATGCATGCATTTTTGTGCAAAAACATTTTGTCAACGCTTGTTTGACAGAATACATCAGGAACAATTAACAAATCCAGGGCTGATCCAGCACACACAGGAGGTGGAGTAAAAGGTGTAGGATGGGGAGAAAGAAAAGCTTATTATATAAGACACGTCTAGTCTCCATTATTTATTGTGCTTCATATCCAACAGATGGGACTACCCTGTGTACCTATCAACTCTCATCAGCGGAGTCAGTTAACAGCAACTAAGCAAACAGTGAAGTAGCTTCAGGAGCTAGCCTTGAAAAATGGGTAGGCTGGTTTGCTACGCGGCCGCCTTCCAGCAGCCGAGGGACCCACCTGTATTTTCTGCTGGTAAATCACTGGCTGCAGCGGCTGTTTGCTGGAGATTTTCAAGCAGGGCTTTTATTCTGGGTCAGCCACAGTGCAACACGAACCTCAGGTTCTTCACCTGGCATCTTACTTAGTTTCCTAACAGCAGAGCAGTGTTTATACATATAATAAATGGACCTAGCGCGTGTCACATGTTGTCCAGAAAAGTTTGTTGCTTTCCCCAATTCTGGCCTCTCTACTCTTGGGCTGGGAAATCCATCCCGAATATTATTGGGTTTGGTTTTGAAAGGGGGAGTGGAGAAGAGAGAGAGAGTGCAGAGAAAGGGAGGGACTGTTTAAACTAAGGGAAGAGGCAGGATGGTAGGTGCTCATGCAAAAACGCAGTGCATAGCCTTGCATGTAGTCTAGTGGTTAAAGAAATGCAAAAATCTAGAACTTTTGGTTCAGAGATGATACCTTTTATTAGACCCACTGAGAAATTGCAAAATATATATATATATTTTTTCTGTTAAGGCACACACTTAGGGTCAGGGGAAGGGGGGAGGGGGGGTCACTTCCCAGCTTGCCACAGAGTCACTTAAGTTTCATAGTTTCTAGGGTCGGAAGGGACCTGAGTAGATCATCTAGTCCGACCCCCTGCCATGGCAGGAAAGAGTACCGGGGTCAAACGACCCCAGTAAGGTGTACATCCAACCTCCTCTTAAAAACCCCCAGGGTAGGAGCCTCCACCACTTCTCTTGGAAGTTGGTTCCAGACCCTAGCC